CACCTGGTTGAGGGGGATGTCGTGCCCCACCAGGCAGCGCAGGCAGTAGATCAGCGCTGACAGGGGGGTTTTGGGGTGTTTTGGGGGCCCACCTGGTTGAGGGGGCTGTCGTGCCCCACCAGGCACCGCAGGCAGTAGATCAGCGCTGACAGGGTGATGGCGCGGGGGGCGTTGCAGTTCCCCAGAACTTGGGGTCCCGTCCCCCCGAAATCGAACACGGCGCTGCCCTGGGGGGGGGAAGGGGGAACGCTGTACCCCAAAACCCTCCCGGAGACCGGGGGGGACCCCAAAGCCCGGGGGGGACCCCAAAACCCACCCAGAGACCTCAGGGGGACCCCAAACCCCTCCCGGAGACCTCAGGGGGACCCCAAAACCCGCCCTGACCCCAAACCCCGGGAGGGAGGGGAGCGGGACAAGGGTAGGGGGATAGGGGACAAGTGACCGGGGGCAGGGACGGGGCCAGCCCGGGGTCACCCGGGGCCGGCTGTAAAACTGACACCGCGGAGCAGAAATGTCAGGGCAGGCCCCGGGAGCTATTCGCGACCTCCCCGCACGACATGGAATGGGACACGGGGAACGGCATGGCGTGGCACGGCGTGGCACCCAGGGAATGGCACCCAGGGAATGGCATGGCGTGGCACGGCACGGCACAGCCAGTGGGGACATGGGACAGCCGTGACCCCATCCCTGCCACTGCCACCCTCCACGAGAAGTGGCACAAATGTGTCACCCTCCCCCGTGTCCCCAGTGGGAGCCCGCCCTTCGGGGTGTGACCGGGGACCTCGGGGTGGCAACAGTCACCCGGCAACCGCCCGGTGCTGCTCCCGACGGTGTCCCCAGGGTCCCCGGCTGGGGACATCCCTGGACTCTACCAAGCATCCTGTCCCCTCGTGTCTTCCCGTGTCCCCAGGCTGTCCCTGTGCTGTCCCCATGGTGTCCCTGTGTCCCCGTGGTGTCCCCGAGCTGTCCCCAAGCTGTCTCCGTGTCCCTGTGGCATCCCCGTGTCCCCAAGTTGTCCCCGTGTCACTAGCTGTGCCCGTGCTGTCCCCAAAGTGTCCCCGAGCTATTCCCACGCTGTCCCCACGTCCCCAGGCTGTCCCCCAAGGTGTCCCCATCCCGTCCCTGTGTCCCCAAGGTGTCCCCGTGGTGTCCCTGTGGTGTCTCCAGGCTGTCCCCATGTCCCCAGGTTGTCCCCACGCTGTCCCCACGCTGTCCCTGTGCTGTCCCCATGGTGTCCCTATGTCCCCATCCTGTCCCCACGCTGTCCCCGGGCTATGCCCGTGTCCCCAAGGTGTCCCCATCCCGTCCCTGTGTCCCCAAGCTGTCCCCGTGCTGTCCTCATGGTGTCCCTATGTCCCCAACTTGTCCCCACACTGTCCCCGCGCTGTCCCCGTGCTGTCCCCATGTCCCCATGGCAGTGTCCCCACGCTGTCCCCATGTCCCTTTGCTGTCCCCACGCTGTCCCCACGCTGTTCCTGTGTCCCCAACCTGTCCCCACCGTGCTGTCCCCGTGCTGTCCCCGTGCTGTCCCCGTGTCCCCACCTCGCGTGGCCGCAGTGTCACGCGCAGCCGGATCGGGGTGCCATCGTCCATCGTGTCCTCGGCCGCCAGCGACGTCCCCCAGCGCGCGGCCACCGCCCGCAGCGTGTCACGGACGGCCACCCCCGTGCTGTCCCCGTGTCCCCACCTCGCGTGGCCGCAGTGTCACGCGCAGCCGGATCGGGGTGCCATCGTCCATCGTGTCCTCGGCCGCCAGCGACGTCCCCCAGCGCGCGGCCACCGCCCGCAGCGTGTCACGGACGGCCACCTCCGCGTTGGCCTGGGGACACGGGGTCACACGGGGTCACACGGG